TATTGTTGATCATTAAATTAGGTTTATTTGTACTTATTTCATGTGTAATGAAATGTTACAGGCTATTACAAGGCTATGCCGTGATGAAAGGATAAGAAGTTCTGCAGATACTAGATTAAATGTTTACTGCAACGTTGATTCTGTTGCTGGACTGCTGAAGATGAAACTGAATGAAGAAGAACTCAATAACTTCAGAACAACATCATTTGGAAGCATTCTGGAAATTGCAGATATGAAATGGATAAGTGGCCAACTCCTGATATATTTAGTTGGTAGCAATGTCACTGAAATTAATGGCAATGTTGTTAAAGACATGCTTGTATTTCATATACAAAACAAACTTGTCACCTTCAGCAAAGAGGAGTTCTGTCCGCTCACAGGTTTAAGATTTACCGGTGACAAAGATATTGAAAAATCTGAAGAAGGTGATATTTGGAGAAGATACTTCCAGCAGAACAAGAAGAGGTCACTGTACCGAGGTGATGTCGCAAAGGCATTCAAAAATTTTAATAGGAAGGACAGTAATGCAAAGCCAGGTGATGGCGTGAAACTGGCACTATTGTATGTCCTATCAAATCTGCTCCTGGGAAATCAGACCCCCATTACAATGCCAATGGCCTATGCTGACTTGGTGAATGATCTGGATAAATTTAATTCCTATGCATGGGGTGAGGTTGTTTGGAAGGACCTTGTTGACAATGTTGGGAAATGTGCCAAAAACATGTCCAAATCTGACAAAGGAAGATATAATTTTCCTGGATATATGTTTGCCATACAAATTTGGGCATTTGAAACATTCCCAGCATTATCAAGAGCAAAGATGTGCAAAGTTATTACTTCCAAAAAGGATGCAGTTCCAAGGATCACAAGGTGGTGCTTGTTGAAAAAGCCTTCTGCTAAAGTTGTTTCTGAGGATATTTTTGACAACAAAAAGGTAACTACATACTAATTACAGTAAAATAGTTCATTTTTATTATTTCTTTACCAATGTCATTGACAATGTTATTACATTGCCATTGACAGTGTTATCACATCGCCATTGACAGTGTTATCACATTGCCATTGACAATGGTATTACATTGCCATTGACAATGTTATCACATTGCCAGTCACATTGACAATGTTATTACATTGTCATTGACAATGTTATCACATTGCCAGTCACATTGTTATCACATTTTTATCACATTGCCAGTGACAATGTTATCACATTGCCATTGACAATGTTATTACATTGCCATTGTCGTTGAAAATGGTATAACGTTCCAATAACACAACAATGACAATGACTTATCATTGCCAATGACATTGACATTTGAACGACATTGACATTGGAAATGAAATTGATAACATTGTTAATTTAATATAATGCATTTAAATCTATAATTTTAAAAGATATATTGATTTGTTAAACTTATGATATTACAACCATTGCAGTTTGAGTTACAGCCTATTGTTCCAACAACAATAGAGCTTGAAGATGCTAATATAGCAAATATGTGGACAACCAGAAATGAGAAAAGCATAGTGGATGTGAATGCAGCTGTGGAGAAGGTGATCTATGAGAGTGACAATGAAGGCAAGATGCAGTCTCGAATAGATAAAAGAAGATCACAGAGAATACCGAAAAAAACTGCTTTGAAAAGAAAAGCATCAAGCAAGAATAGTAAAGAGGAATCGGAAATTGAATTCAAAAAAGCCAAGAAAAGTACTACTTTGAGAAGGAAAGCAACAAAAGGCAAAAAGGTAAAGAGCAGGCAGAAACTGAGAGTCCAAGCAACTCTGAACAAGATCAGTTTCAAGTAATATGTTTGAAAGAGCTGAAGGGTATCAAAGATACCCTAAAGAAACATGATAAAATGTTTGAGCAAATATTGACATTGCTTCTGAAGAAAGGGTATGAAATAAAAGATTCTGGCAAGACAGTGCAGGGGAAGAAGATTGTACAAGAAGTTGAGCTTGACTGTAATACAAGTTCTGATGATGACACAACTGAGGAAGAATATGAAGAGAATGATTCTAATGAACAAGAAGATGTAGAGGTGTCTGATAATTCTGGAGAAGAAGAAGATGCTGAGAAGTCTGGGGAGGGTGAAAAAGATTATAATAAGCAAGATGCTGTGGAGTCTGGAGAAGAAGAAGATGATGAGGAATCTGGGGAGGGAGAAAAAAATGATAATAAACCAGATGCTGAGGAGTCTGATGAATCTGGGGAGGATAAAATCTCTAAAAACGAAGTTTCTGTAAAGGAAATGGAAGAAGAAAAGGCTGAAGAAGTGTTTGAAAAAGAAAATGTTAAAGAAGTGCAGAATATGGGGGGTTCAGATATGCCAAGTTTTGATTTGCACTTCACTCCAACACCTCCTGAAAAGACAATGTCTAACAATGAAAAATCTCCATTGTTGGGAGACACTCAATTTTCACTTGAAGATCTACAACAGGTCGATAATATTGTGAATGATATTATAAAAAACAAGGTAATGACAATGATAATTGAAAATATTTCTATAGGTCTATTTGTGACATTCTGATTTGTTACTGCAGGATAAAGATGGTCAGAGTTCTGGAGAAAAGGAATTCAGAAGTAACAATGAAAAAGCAATAGTGGTAAATAGTAAATTAAATAACAACATATTTATTGGTGATAATATAAGATTTCCTAAAAATGTCATGAGAATGTTATAGATATATCATTGACAATGGCATTTAAAATGCCATAACATTGGCAATCTATATAGTACAATGTCATTGGCAATGCCATTTTGAATGTCATTGTATGAAGTACAATGCGATTACAATGACTCTGAGAAATGACATTGGTAATAGTATAACATTGATAATGGCATTTCTAATGACATCTCATTGGCAATTACATAGTTTCTATCAATACCATTGCGGATGACATTGGGAGTGGAATATAATTTGAATTTCGCAATGCAGGTTTATGCAGAAAGAATACCTATTCAAGAAACATTGGCAAAGTTTAAAAGGCCAAAAAGGACTGCCACTCAACCTGACAAATACACTCCTACAGAACTTGTGCAACAAAGAAAGAAAGCTAAGGTGGAAAGGCTAGAGAAGAAAATGCTGAAACTAAGAATGAATGAAAGAAAGTCATTGTACGGGCCATTTGCACTTGACCCTTTTGAGATGCCACCTGTTAATGCAATTGAGAAAACAAGGACTTATTTGAATATTGGACTGCTGAAAATAGGAGGAAATTTGAGGATGCTAGGAAGTACAAAAAGAATTTTGAGGTTCTGGACAAAATGCCTTTTATAGTTGATGACTTTGAGATAAGGTCAAAAACATGGCTCTACGAACTGTTTTTCAATCAAGAATGGCTGACTGATTCTGTAAGTAGTGGTTTAATATAATAAATACTCAAATTGTTTGCTATGTAAATTTATAATTTTATTAAATATTTATGAAACTCTTTATATTGCAGCATATGGCAGTGTGCATGTACTATTTGAATTTCAAAAGAGCACAGTACAAATTACCACAGAAATATGCTTCTGTGGGTCCATATTTCATTCAAATTCTGAAGACAGCACATAATGAAGTAAAGAATAACAATAAGACATTGAAAGATGCATCTGACCATGATACTATAGTGTCAGAAATTTTGGGAATGACATGCGAATATGGAATGCCATGGAGTGAATCAGATTTTGTGTATATGCCTGTGTGTAATGGTAGCCATTGGGTGTTGCTGGTTATAGAAATGAACACCAAAATAATAAGGGTTTACAATTCAAAAGCAAATCGGGGTCAATCACTTAGAGACATTGTTGAATATCTTCCTTGCTTGAAAGAGATGTTACATCTTATCCTTGACAATTACGGAGTGTATGACATGATGGAACATATAAAAGATGATAAGTTCACAGTTCAAGCAGTGGAAAATTGTCCACAACAGGATGATTGGTAAGTTCAATATATTGAAATATATATTTTTTTTGTCTAATAAAATTATTAGATTTTAATGTTGTGTTTTTTCCTTTACTTCATGCAGTGGAAACTGTGGAATGTTTGTTTTGAAATTTGCTGAATTTCTGATGATGGGAAGGGATATTAAGGAAATCAAATCTGAAGACATGCCCCTATTTAGAGAAAAAATGATGACAGAGCTGATACTGTATAACGAAAGAAGGATGAAGGAAGCATTGGGTTGAAGATGTTGCAGCGAAGTGAAGATGTGGGCAGGACTGAAGTGCTTTATATGATATGATATGATATTCTAATACAATCGTGTGTAATATACTTAGTGAAACAACTACTATCTGTTTGCATTGAACAAATTATTGCACTTCCTTATTTTGTTCAATTTATGCAAATGACATTCCAATGTTATTATAGTGCATTTTGAATGTCATTCCATTTTATTGAACAGTATCTCAGATGTCATGACAATACCTTTGAGATTGAAATAGCATTGTTATTTCAATGACATTCACAATATCAATGCATTCATTGTCTTTACATTATCATTCTAATGACATTGCAAATGACATTGAAAAGTAGAAAATGACATTGCATTGAAAATGTAATTACAATGACAATGATCTTATTGCCAGAATGCGTCTTTACATTACCATTGTAATGACATTGCAAATGATATTGAAAAATTAGAAAATGACATTATCCAAATATCTTTGATAACTTGAAAAATTACATTGAAAATGTAATGACAATGAGAATGATTTTATAGCCAGAATGCCATTCTAGAAATGTTTTATCATTGCAAAGGATAGAAAATGAAATGGTAAATGTGAACATCTCAATCTAAATTTCAGAAATTACATTTAAAAGTGTCATTCTAAATATAAGAATGTCAAATACACCAATAGTATTTAGCAGTAAAAATGTACTGCTAAAGTGCAAAAACACCAGTACAACTTTAACATCTCTGTTTTTTGATTTTTTATAACATGGGGAATTGGATTTTTACAAGTCTTCTGATTATGCCCAACACCAGTACAACGTGAACATCTCTGTTTTTTGATTTTTTAAATGTAGGAAACTCTCCAACAGATGGTATCCTCTTCTTCTTTGGCCTTCCAGCTGGCGTCTTTTCACACTTAGGTGGTTTGCAGATCATACTTTGAACATCAGCAGGGACATTCCATGCAGCAACATCACAAATTGGATGAACAATCCCATTGTAAGTAGCACACAACGCGTCACGTTTATAAAAAAGGCGAAATGAAATCATAACATGACATGTTTGGTGCTTTGGAAATCGCAGCTACAGCATGTACACACACAAATTGATCCAATTGAAATGCACAGCATGTGCAAATTTTTTTCTTCAAATCAACAACAAAAGATCGACAGCGCCTATCAACAACCTGAAATTCGTAAGCACAAGAAGGCTTCACCTGCAACAGTAAATAAATAATCTAAGCAAAAAGGAAAAATAAAATGAAATTCAGTTATTATGAGAAAATGTCAAAGATTTAAACACAATGTCAACAACTTTAACAAGCAATGTCAAACATTAACAAACACAATGTCATACCTGCATACGAAATGCTTCACGTTGCAGAACTATAAGCTCATGTTCACGCTCTTTAGGCAGAATAGTTGTAGTTGAATGTGCTAAATCACGACGCTCTGTAAACCATTTTTGCATTCGCTCACGAATAAAATCAATTAATTTTGCTACTGGATACTCTCGAGCACAAATGTTGACATTATTCATGGACTCAGCCCAGTTAGAAGTCATGATATTATATCTATACGCACCACTCATGCACCTTGCCCACTTATCACTTCCAATCTTATCTAAATATGCTCTTATACGAGGATCCTCCAAATCCAACAAAGCCATATATTCTTGATACTCCTTGTAAGTAGAAGCTCGTGCTGCAGCATTAAACTTCCACTCTTTACCATCAGCAGAACCCTTAAACTGCGACCGAATGTTACCAGCTAAATGGTGAACACAATAACCATGTCCAGCTGAAGGAAAGACATCTTTAACGGATTTAATAATTCCAGCATTCCTGTCAGAAACAATATATAAATTGTGTCTATAAGATAAAGCCAGTTTCAACTGTGAAAAGAACCATTTCCAGGAATCCTTGTTTTCTGAATCACATATCCCAAAAGCTAATGGAACAAGCTGACGGTTGGCATCCCTGGTACAGGCAGTGAGCAAAGTCCCTTTGAAATAGCCCTTCATAAAAGTACCATCAACTGTTAGGACAGGTATACAGTGATCCCAAGCTTCCCTCCATGCAGACAATGACATGAACATGTATTTGAAAACAGAATCAGCATGACGAACAAGAGTTATGACAGACTGTGGATTAACTTTTCCAATGACATGGCACATGGAAGGTAATAATTGATATGACTCTTCATCGGATCCAAAGAGAAGCTTCATTGAATGTCGCTTAACTGCCAAAGCTTTACGGTAAGACAAAGAGATGCCAAATTCTCTACGGATGTCGTCAATTATGTCATTTGGCGGATAGGATTTCTTAGAAGCATTGGAGTAACGATGAATAACCATGCCTGCAACAATGTCATAAGTGGCCTGCTTGTGATCACCCTCTCTGAAATCCACTGAACATGAATGAGTTGAATCAAATCTGAAAAAGAAGAAGTGAAAATTAAAGTTAATGTAACTGATAATTACAACTATAAATAAATAAATAAAAATGTTAAAGTTGCAATTGAACCTGCGAATCTGAAAGAAGTCCACATCAGGAAGACGAACACCACGAACAGCCCACTCACATTTCTCATCAGGACAAAAAACATGTAAACTTTCTTTTCTTGAAGTTTTAGTCACATACTGAAAGTTGTTCTCAATGGCATACAACTTCAAGTGATATATAAGATCATGTTTATTCTTGTATATAGCATACAATGCTATACTGGTAGGATCAGTGTGCGTATAAACTTTAACATCCTTATAAACACCAGTTGACAAAAAAGAATCAACTGAAGAAGAAGAGGGAACCTTTGGTGAATCAAATGATATACTTTCTGAAGGTATGAGGATAGAAGTATTATGAGAAGTATGACATTTTGAAGGAACTTGATGTGCAATGAACTCAACACAAATTGGAAACTGGGAAAAAGATGGATGTAAGGTTTTCAAAGTTAGATAAAAAGTAAGACTTGTATCATCATCTATAAAAACAGGGGGAGGACATGACTCAACAATGTAAGATATCATAAAATCTTTATCGATTCTTCCCTTGAAAATGTTATGTATCAAATTATCACAGAAATCACTATAGGAAGAACCAAACAAAACAGAAACACCAAGCGTGTGTTTATTATGAAACACATTATCAGGATTCCAGTATCCATCAACTTTAACCATGACAAGAATATTATTATCCATGTCTGCGACACCTGGAAATACAACAAATGACATGAATGTAAAACAATGTCATGAATTATCTACAATGTCAAACCAAAGATAAATCCAGAAGAGTAAAGCGTATGTAGTAAGAAATATGAAAAGAAGGAAAAAATAATGAACATTAAAGAAGATTAGAGACAGGAAAAACGATAATGATGATAAAGCATTCATAATACTTCCAGCTCTCCTAATCATAGAACTACAATAAAACTTCATACGACTATCAACAAGTAAACACAAATGAAAACAATTCTGATACACAATCATCATACAATTCAAGAATATAAAATTAATGAACAGGTGAAGATGATTGTCGCCACTACGGGAGCATGGTCGCCGCCATCAACGGACTGCCATGCTGAGGAACTAACACCATGCGCACAATCAATTCAAGAATATAAAATTCAAGAATATATACAATTCTGATACACAATCATCACACAAATTAAAACGAAGATGAAGGTGAAGATGATTGTCGCAAACAAAAAGCGAACGATAAAACTATGTGATCGTACCAAATAACATGTGAGCGATAGTCTGTGAATATCACAGCAGTTGATCAATGGCGGCAGTTGATCGATGGCGGCAGTTGATCGATGGCGGCAGTTAATCGATCGCAGCAGTTCATCGAAGGTGAGATGAAGATCGTCTAATTTGAAGGCTGAGCTGAAGGAGAGAATGAAAATAACGGAAATCTGAGCTTCTGTATGAGTTTAAGAAACAGGGGCAATTTTGGAAACTTCCTAAAATTAGGTCCTATTTAGGAGTAAAAAAAGTTAAGCTCTTATTTAATTACATACCATAAGTTAAGCTCCTATTTAGCACCATTTCTCAATTTAATTTAAATTGTAAAATTGTAATTAAATACTCTGTATCAACGAGCTGCCAAACCATTGACTTGACCAAAGAAACAACTTCATCGCTTCAGGACCCCAACTTCGAACCCTTGAGTTGCCTCTTCGCAAATCAAAAATTGCAATCCCATGTTCCCAGGCCTTGAGCAATTCCAATCGGCAGCGCGTGTGAGCGTGCGTCACTGCCAGGCTTGACCACAGGAGTATTATTTATTTACATAATTACATCTTTTTGGTTTCCTTTAGATTTTTTCATTGTTACTCGACTAGAGCACTGAGCTGTAAGGCGTATACTATTGTATTACAATAAATTAATTAATACCTCAATACTTATAATCTTGATATAATGAAATCGTGATTAGTGATGTTGATTTGAAATATTGAATATTTGTTTTATACTATGCATGTCGATTAAATTTATATTTATGAACCATTTATTTATTTATTATGGAGTATTATTTTGAAAGAAATTTTTTATGGGTTTTTATTACCAGGACAAAAAATATGATTCGGTGTATATAAAGAGAAAGAATAAATTAAGAAAGCACCAAGTAACAAAATCGCTTGCCACTATAGATCGGTACGTAGCACAAAACCTTTTCCTTCAATATTGTCGAAAACGTGGGTATAAATACCGTTTTTAAGAATAAGTGTGAGGATGTAAGTTAATATGATGAATTTCATATAGGTAATTTTCTTCTACTTGCTTGATATCATATTTTTGTATATTTATGTTGAATGCAACATATTCCCATTATTTACAATGGAGCCAAAGATTCACTGTTTTTTGCCGTGAGAATATGATGAAATTAAGCAAAATGACTCACTAAACTGTTTGCGCTTCTTTTTTATGAAGCAGCACGCAGTCCATGCCAATGTGGACGCGATTTTCACTATGCGTCATCCGAAAACAGTCTCTATGTGCTTTAGGACTAGGGTAAGACTGCGTACATCCGACTCTCCCTTACCCCACCGTAGGTGGGAGCCTTTGCGGCACTGCGGTAAGTGATGATGATGATGATTATGATGATGGTGATGTTAAATGGATCATATTTAAACCAAATGTATATATGACTATATAGGGCCTCATAATGGTTGTAGACGGCCCTGCATATGACTTTCCACCACAATTGGGTTAAAACGCCATTTACTGTTAGGAAATTGATGTAACGTACCTCGAAAGTACGGCAGCGGAAATTTAAAACTTTCTCAAACAGATCTTCCCTGATTATGACAAATCAACGAATATAACAAAATAATAGATCAAAGTTAGAACTTACACATTCTCCAGCCTAGCGGTAATAATCCTTGACCTTAGGTATCCACATGATTTCTCCTTTTCGAAAGAACGGTTAGATCTCCCAAAGAGAAAGACTAGGAAATCTCTTCGCAGGAAAATAAACTGGGAACAGTGAATTGAAAAACTGGTCTTCTAATTATGGAGGAGGAGGATGTATTTATCCTAGTTCTAAACTAGTTACCCAATCACAATGAAAGACTTTCTAATTAATGAGTTCTAATCGTGCTAGGACCAATACTCCTAATTAATCTAATTAATATTTAATCCATTTTCAGTATTATGAATTAAATATTATTTAATCCTATTAATAATATTTAATTCCTTCTAACAATTCAATCGAAAGGTATAATCACTTGTTGTGTGACCCATAGGGCCTTATATTTTAAGCACTAATCAAATTAAGGTCTTAGCAGAATCCCTAGACGATTTACCAGACAATCTTAATATATAAGGACGTTTGCGAGGACTATTCAAACTCCATGTAATATAGAGCTCATAATGATACATTCCTTTCATTCAATGAACATTCAACTAAGTCTAGAACATGATATTGTGTCTATTCCAATAATTTAGTTTCTATCTTTCAATATTTCTAGATGATCCATAACGATCATATTCGATATCCAAAACGAATATATCTTTGCATTGGCCAATGACTTTATGATCCATCTAGATATGAGAAGTAGAATGTTCTATCTTAATCTATTATGAGGAATGAATCCTTTCTTGGCTCAACTACTACTCCATTTGCTTCGTGATGCACCCAACACATGTCATATCTACCCCGATTGGAGTGCAAGCGTTGGTAATGATCAAAGTGCATCACTCCGCACATGTAGTACATATTGACTTCAAGTCGGAGGACTATTACACTACTCTATACGCCAATAATCCCATAGACACATGAATAGAACTTATCAAATGGTTTCTCGGTGGGTATGTCAATATTTTCTAAAAAAATCTATGTGACCATCATAAATTACAGGAACTCATAGTTGTGAGATCAACTATACTTTCTAAAAGTATGATGCAGTCCACATACCAATCTTATCGCATATCATCAATATCCCATTCTTGATGATCATTAATTGGGGCTATTTTAGGACCTTATGTTATATCATATAAGCTCCCACTTACTTATT